AAGCAAAATAATAGCAACAATTAACTATATGTATGTGCTTCAGATTTTTGTTCGAATTGGTCTGATGAAAATGATAGGTCGGGAAAATAATGTGTCCCCTATGTAAACGGTGCATGAAACCTGCAGTCAAAAATGATAAGTACACGCAGATTTATTTTTGATTCAGAAATGTTTACTGTATTCAAAAATAATGAGTTAAACAATGTTCAAAGTTTTCCATATTCTTTGTTGAGCCCAAAATACCGTAATTTAATTTTCATTTGAAATTTTATTTTGGCGGAGTCATTGGTGATATGCAAGACCAGTCAGGGACACGACTGTCAGGGCCTTGAGTTCAGGCCCCAGTTTCACAAAAAAAAAAACTTGAGTCACTTTCCTGGCTCAGTTGATTTCCATGAGAATGCTGTTGCTGTGTACATTGCTCCTGATAGGGTAAGATGTGACCATGTAACCTTGGTAATTAAGTTCTTAGACAATGAACCCGACTTAAGTTTATTGTAAAACTGCATGGGACCAGGGCTTTTAGTACAAACTGAACATATTTTTTTCAGAAAAATGTAACTGATACCATATGTATTTAAGCTATAGAGAACGTGACGGCGCTTACTGTTCGGAATTTACGCCAATTTTGTGAACAATTTATAATGCGACCAAAGCGCCTTTTATATATAGGTTTTTATGTAAGCTTTGTTTTTGTCTATTTTAATACATTAAAATGTATATGTTTCAGAATTTATTTGTGCAAATTGTCAAACTAGTAAGTCATCCTCCATTTTGACCGTCTTTCGACAGAAAAAAAATTCCCTTAAATGTAAACTTGCAAATTCTGACCGTCTTCCAGCAGACCCAGAAGACAGCCTCCGTCCGCCCCTGTGCATCTGCTCTTCTCTTTCGGATTTTTATTGTTTATTTGTATATTCTTTTTTTTTTTTTTTTAATTATCCAGCTTGTTTCTGTTTTTTATCAATTAGAGTGTTTGACATGATACAGAGTGCTAGCTTTGTTTAGATATATTATCAGAACTCTTTAGCTAACTAATGTTCTAAAAAATACCTAGATCAGTATGCAACAGTATTGAAGCTCTCCAGCAATGTGTATTGTGAAGTTAATTAATTTACCCAAAAGCTTCAGTGATGTTATTACAAAAAGAATAATAATAAATTGGTATTTGATTTATAATATCATGAAACTACCCCACCCAGTAGGAAAATGTGCGGGTATGATAATATTAACTTTAATTTATGCGAATTTAGTATTCCAATCTGTTACGGAAAGAGCATTACTCGGTTTTGTTAAAGCTGTCTTAAAAAATTTTTTTTTGAACACTTACTGTCTAAGACCATTCAAAGAAACATATCAGGCGTAGATAGCGATTCTTATAAGACAAGCGTATATTGAAGATTTTTGGCTTTATTTGGTGCTCACCATGACCAATAAGTTTTATTCAATGCTGTATACATGTGTTTTTTATTTCTTACTACCAGTGTTCTGTTTGTGCCGTTGAGGAATTTAATAAATATGTTACTTAAAATTAATTTTTATTTATTCAAATACCTTATTCGTTTTCATTAATAGTTGATGTATAATTATGTTTTATTTCATTTTTTGTCAGTAACGGAATTGAATTTTTCTTGGGGTACAATAATTCCACGTAGTACAATTATTTATTCTGAAAGAATTTTTGAAGCAGTACAATTATTCTGCAAGTACAATTATTAACTTCCAGGAAATTTTCCAGGTGTTGCCATTATTCCGCCAATGCAATTATTCAGAATTTCGCCCGTACTGTAACGATTATGAAAGCTCCGAGAGAGAAAAAACTTCACGTCACCTACAGCTTTGAAAAGATATTCTCGGTTTGAATGATTTTTTTAATGTTTAATTCTTTATGATGATTCTAAATTTTTTTAAATGAAGAAAGATTTGGCAAAATCAAGGTCTTGTTATTACTATTATTAATGCTCTAGGTATTCAACGTCTGGTCTAATTGAACCCGTGGATTTTAATTTTGGACCAGCAGATTTTCGGAAAGCGGTGATCCAAATGGTCATTAAGCTGAAAAGTTTATGGAGCAGGCAGGTAAATTCTACTCAACACTTTGGATGTATTCTGAGAAAAGTCGCTTTTAATACAATACCAATTGTTAAAAGGGAACACCGTGAATCTCATTTGTGCCCTATGATAAAATCTGTTATCATTTGTGTATTTATTGGATACAGCATCAGACTGATAGTTCATTTATGTTATATCAAACTGATAATTATATGACAAAACGTACTACTCTATATTGTCTGTGACGACGGAATACAAATACCCTCGACCTAAAATGTATTCGCAGCTAAGTGTATGCTCGGATCCGATTGTACATTAGACTTAATTTAGAAGAAAAAACAGATGTGTTGGGACAATTCTTGATCTAAACCAATGTATTTTACAGGTAATGTCATTTACAAAACTTTATACCGATGGTCCTTTTTCTACTGAAAATGGCTGACCATACGCAGGCACCAGAGGAAACTGTGCATTCGAACGACATATCCTCAGCTGGAAACAGCGCAGCCGACGGTGAAGACTTCTCCCTTACCTTAAACTCCTCGCACGAAGAGGAACACACTGAAGTTAAAGACAGCACGCCCTATGGCTGCTACTTCTGTCTCAAAGTGTTTGCCTCGTTTCTCTTCGCGACTGCACTGCTTTTCGCCTTAGTGGCCAACAAGGTGACAATATACGCCATATCTCACAGCTTGTCAAACCACTCATCAGGTTCTGGACCCAATGAATTGACCATAGATACCATCGACCAGAAGATATCAGTGTTTATGTTAATGGTCATCCTGATTATTCCATACGGCCTGGCGTTTCTGCGCTGTCTTTGGAGTTCGGGGGTGCTTCAGACCTTGACGCGGAACCTTTTTTGTTTCTGCTGCTGCGCCAACTTTTCCTGTTCCAGAGCAAAGCGCGACTTGGAGACGCCGTGGCCTTCATGGGGGCGTATAGCTTTGGTCAGTATTATAAAATACAGTGATTTTATTATGTTTTATAATAACTGCTATTTTTCCATCCCGGTAAATGATATGGGGATGACCATCTTCATCAAATCGTGATTCTACCTATCTTGTATGCTTTTCATGGTGGGACGTTTAAAATGGGGAGTTCATTCATTTCCATACATTACTGTGGCACACGTATGTCGCTTACTCAAATCATTATCAACGCAGAATATTTTTGACCAGTGATTATAGCACAAGTGTATTGTAACTGAAAACAGAAATTATAGAACATATAATGTAAACCTTCCAGATATCATTGGAACGCTATATCGTGATATACCTTTATATAGTCCATTCGTCAATGATAAAACCCAATCTCAACGATAACATACCACGCCACTAGAGCTAGGCCCTGTATATCAGACATCTTTCACATATTCATTATGCAGTACTAGTATATAAAGCACTGGACATGCCCCCCCCCCCCTTCCCGGCACAGCCCGGCCCTGTATAGTGGTCCCATGCATCTGTTACCGTACATGCATTGGGCAGGCGTTTGGCACTTCTTTCAACCTGCTTATCACTGTTAATACGAATCCTAATATTTGATATTAAATGTTGCATTAAATGAGATAAATCAATGCAGTGAAAGCCATATCATCATTATTATTGACTGGTTTGTGCTACCAAAAATAAGAGGTTTATTGAGTAATTGTCTTTTGTTATTTAATGTTTGGTTAATGTCTTATAATCAATATGGCCTGTATTTTGATTTATTATAGATAATAGTGACAAGTCTTTTGGAAGTCCTCGGCCTCTGGATCATCCTTCTGTACGTATTCCCTTTCTCAACCGGATTGGAAAGCGTTTTGTCGTCTGCCTTGGTTTTCCTCGGCTGCAACATATCCGATCTTCTCCTTTGGCTCAAAGGGAGATTTTTCCATGGAGATCAACAAATCCAGGAGGAGCCCAACGCCCGAACAAAAGCTCTCACCGCATTGTTTAATACAGTCCCTTTATTTTTAAGTGCAATCGGCCTATTCCTTTTGCTGTTCTTTGATAAGGATATTAGACATGATGGCGAACGCGGGGAAAGTTCCCCTATTGCTTGGTCCCTCCCACTAGGTGTCGCTCTGGTAGCTGTGTCTTGGGTACCAACTATATTACAGTGGCAAGTGACCATTACACCTAAGAAACAATTGCCTATCTCACGCATTCGTTTTCAGTTGCTCGCGGAAGATGAAACTGGAGTTTCCATTTTTCCAGACGGATGTCGCTGGAAAGCTGGCTTGATTTCAAACTTCTTGAAAGTGTTTTTTGTTCCACTTGTCCTGCTCATTCTAGGAGAAATTTATACTCAAAACGATACCATAATTAATATTGCCCTGTTAATATCACCGAATGAATTTGCCATCTACGTTTTCCACCAAGAGTTTTTCTGGTACTTCATTATCAATATATTCTCTAGTTTTTTGGGGTATTTATTTGCGTGGGCTACGATTGCGATTTCCTTTGGGTTAACCTGTCGGTTTTGCAAAAGTAAAAAAATTTTCATTTCCGCCCTCTTCTTCCCGCTTATCACCGCCTCGCCATTGGCGGCAATTTTGATCGGCGTGGAGCGCACGTGCTTGGTGATGCTTCCTCCTGAGCAGTGTCATAGTCAGGATGAGTTAAGCTGGGGTTTTATTGCCACCGTCCTGATTCTGGTAGCTAGCTTTGTTTCATGTGGAGTTTGGATAGTCACCACAAGGCCCCGGACTATACTAACAAGCGAGTCTCAGGTGAGAAAAATTGACCGTCTGTTTTGGATTTTACCTGTTTATTCATAATATTATATTAAGAAATTATTTAACATATTCAAAATGCATAGTTTCACAACGTGTATAATACATCGCATTTATGCACAGCCAGTTTGTTGAACTATTAAAAAAGTGTTTCTTTTCCTAGATCTTTTGGCATACTAACTACACTGGTGCGTTGTTGGAGCAATGGCTTTGGCTAAATCGTAAGACAGAGAAAAAAGATCTAACTCCAGTGCCAACTGACAAGGAAAAGAAAAATTGTGTTATTTATTTATGTACAACAATGTGTAATGAGGTAGGATACACATGTCAGTGTTGTTGTTCGGAATTTCTTTTTTAAACCATAAATAAACATCAAACTCGCATGGTCAGACAGTCAGCTTGAATAACATTTGCTTCTTGAGTTTGTAAAGACAATAATACGTTTCAGCACTGAATTTACGACACTGAAATAGATGGTGATCCCAAAGGAAAATGTGTATGTTCTGTAGTGGAAAATTCCTGTTTTAGTCAGAAGAGGAAATGACCCAACTACTTCTTTCTTTGAAAAATGTCATTGATGGTAGAGACAGAGGATCGCCATTGTTCCACTCTCACATATGGCTAGATGGTGCTTTTGACACCAAGACGAAACCAGAAAGTAATACACTCAGTAGAAACGCACTTCAGTTACTGGGCATAGTAAAATCTGTGTTTGGTGAGTTATTTTTAAAGATGACATACAAAGAAGCTTACCGTCATCAATTAATGTCAAAATAATGTGATTTTCTATTGTAACATGTATTACTAGTACTTTGTTTTAGCAGATAACATCAGAGTGTGGTTGTTTTACTAAAAGTTACTTATTGAAGCAGGTCTTATATCTGTAAGAGTAATAGAAAATAATCTAAATATATTCAAGTACACTTGCAAGGATAGTTGCTGTTCGATTGGAAATTTCTAATTTAATGAAAAAAACCAATTCGACCTATTCCACAAAAAAAAAACAAATCTGCAAAGAAAGTCTCTTGGTTGTCGTTAACTATCAGCTCAAAGTCTCCACAAAGATGGATTGAACAATCTCTTTATCACTGCATATATGTTTATTAAAAAACTTAAATATTTCATATAACACTTATATTAGATGTCAGTTTAGGGAATGAACCACCTGGTACAGTATCCTACCGTTTTGAGACGAAGAAAACAAGGTACGGTCGCCGCTTTACGTGGACATTTTATGATCTCAATGAGGAACTGGAAGATGTGGATCTAAATGTGCATCTCAAGGACAACAGAAAGGTAATTTTACCTCTATGTTGCTGTTTTATATATTAGACGGCCTGGCGAATATTTCGAACGGACGCCAAAAACTTTGTCAGGAATTCTAAAATTCTTATGGGCCTATAAAATAATTATCTTTTTTTTTCTTCTTGATGCTATCACTAACGTCGCTTAGATGCAGCACTTTATTCAATTACAACATAAATGTGATCAAATCCACTGGTAGTACCCGTGCTTGCCAGAATTTGAACAGAGAGTCGTTTGCTCCCGTAGACAAACAGAAATGATCCATTTTGTCAAAAGTCTGCCACCAAATGCAATATCCAACAATATGTTTAAGAATTAAAATAAGCAGTAGTTTTGTGTATATTGGAATATGTGCATATAAGTGACGCTCATATGTTTTCTTAAATTGTTACTCGAGAGAGAAAGTGGTCAATAGTCAATACTGTTTATTTATTTGCTTTAGGTTAAGAAGAAGAAACGTTGGAGCCAGATTATGTACTTATCGTACATCATTGATTTTCTCTGTGTAAAATCAGCAAAAAGAACTGGTTTAGATGTGGATGAAAGTAAGCAAATATATATAAGGCATAATGCAACCTGCAGGGTAGTCATTTCACAGAAATACAGTTAGATTCCTCTTCAACACATAAGATTATGATTTAGTGTATTTTAATACCTGTAATGTTCATAATCGATTTCGACGTCTTTTATTCTGCCCCAACCATTGTGCTTCGTTTCTGTATTTCATCTGCTGTTTGGCTAACTTTGTTCACATTTACAGTTCAATTAATCGCGTTTCAGTTTTGAAGGATACTTTTATCTTGACGACCGACGCTGATGTGAAGTTTGAATTTGCATCGGTAGAGGCTCTCCTTGATGTTTTCCTGCGAGACGAAACCAAGCAGCTTGGAGCCGTTTGTGCCCGAACCCACCCGCTGGGTTCTGTAGCCAACCCTTTAGTATCATACCAGATTTTTGACTACGCTATTGGCCACTGGTTGCAAAAGGTAGACAGCACCTGTCAGACATGTAATGTTGTTGGTTTGAACATAAGGCAGAAACGGTGATCATTTACAAGACAAAGAATACCTGCTTAAAAAGTAGTCAAATTTCGCAAGATGATAAATGAAGAAACTCCGTTAAATGCTTTCCTCTCTGCCGTTAAAGGGAACAAACCAGAAAAAGAAAGCCTTATTGGCAGAGAGGGAAAATATTTTTCACAAATATAGATATAAAAAGAATATATTTACAAGTAGCAAAGTGAGATTTATAGAATTAAGAGGTTCTCATGTGCATTGGAGGCAATCATACTATTTTATTATATTCAGGTTGCCAACCACACTCTGGGAAGCGTGCTGTGTGCCCCCGGCTGCTTTAGCATGTACCGAACGGCCATTTTGAAAAACGTCCTACCAGAGTACGGAAGTGACACTAGCTGTGGCACGGAGTTCCTTTACAAAGACATGGGAGAGGACAGATGGCTCTGCACTCTGATGGTATGTGCATTTCTAAATTCAAAAAGGTTTCTTGGTTTGCAATATTTATTACTATTGCAACACTGTGAACCCCCTTCCATGTCATATGTGGTAAAACTTTTATAAAAAAAAAAAGCAGGTAGCTTCACCTGTCACCAAAAGTGATAAATTGAGTCTTCTGTTTCGTGGGCAGACGCGTTGTCTATTGCGCCAAGAGGCCGTGATACTTACAATTTTCAAAAAATGAAATAAAGTGAAATGTTCTTTTTCTGACGAATACGTACTAACATTGTCTTTGTAAAACACAGGTTAACAACGGGGCGTGGCTTGAGTACTGCGCGGCTGCAGAAGACAAAACGTTTTGTCCAACTGGGTTTGAGGAATTCTTCAAGCAGCGACGACGTTGGATTGTATCTACTATGGCTAATATGTTCTTACTGATGAGATCATTCGGTACAGTCGTCCGCTGTAACAAACACATCACAACTTTGTTTATGGTTTACCAGTTTTTGCTGTTCATATCATCCCTCATTGGTCCCGCAACGGTCATTTTGGTAATAGCAGGTACGTTGAATGGAGTCATCCTCGTCATAGTGTTTGTGAAGATAGCGGCTCATTGGTATTATTTCTTTTTCTACACTATGAACAAAATATTTGCATTAAGGTGTTTTCCTTGTACATGTACATTTTATATGCAGGTATTTATCTCTTTTCTTCCACTTGTACAGCAAAAATTCTTTTCGCCCCTTTAGCGCATCGCAATGGGTAAAAGTTCATACTTATAAGGCAAGCATTTCGTTTTTTAGGTGGTTACGAGTACGCTTATGACATTAACAGCGTGATAATAACCATCATTCTCGTCATCCTGGCCGCCATATTACTCGTTGTTTGCTACTTTGCTGCGCACAAAACTCAGATTTTGGTATCTTGGAATTTACGCATATAATTTTGTTTGTGCATATATTATGGATATGATAATGTTGTAATAATGGTGATTTTCAACCAGATTACTCACTTAAGATAATACTGAATTGTAAACAAATTACGCATAAATGGTAAAAAAACAAATATTTATTCAGTGTTAACAGTTTCTACCTTGTCATGTTGTTGACAAGGTTTGATGAATCTGGGCTTACTTTTGCACAATGTGCTGACTTCTCATAATATTGCATGTGTCTGATTTTCAGTTTGCTGTAGGTTTTAGTATAATTCTTGCCCTGGCCATGGTTGCTGGTTTTATAGGTACCGCCAGACAACTGGTGACTGACTATAGCAATATCACGGCTTTCGTTTACCAGGTAGATAAAAATGGTAAGTGGACTTTTCCTTCTGAGGGCTTATATATTATGTCCAGTCTTGTTTAAAGGCTTTTACTATTAAACAAATAATAGCGCCTATTGAATGAGAACATTTGCTGTTATTGTTATTGTTGTTGTTACTGTTATTATTATTATTATTTGCATTTTTTTAAATTTTTGTATGACTCTGTTTGTTTTATTATATCTTTTTCCGGTAAGATCCATGGCAAGTAAATGTTCCCATCAGCTCAATCTATATTACTGTCGTGGTGGGAATATTTGTGATTACAGCATTACTACATCCAACCGAATTCCTGTGTCTCCTGCACGGTAAGTTGCCACGTCGTACGAATACCTGGAGAGATATACAACCATCATAAAGATACAAAAGAAAAGAAGATTGATATCATAAATAGATAAACAAATGTTAAAAGTAGTGTTCAAGCATAGGTGTCAAGTTCAATCCCAATAAATAAAAAGACATAATGTAAGCAAGCATAACGTCAGACAAACATTTGACACAACTTGGAATGAAACGTTTTGGCGAAATACGCCAATGGATTCGAAATATCACAGGTTGATGGTTTCCATATATTTGTTCTTTTTCTTATTGTTAGGAATTACGTACCTATTTTTCCTGCCTGGGGGATATCTGATTTTGATGATTTATAGTATTTGCAACATCACAGACCAATCTTGGGGTGAGTCACGTGATCTGACATCCCATTTACATATTAATAATAATAGAAATAATAATAATAATAATAATAATAATAATAAGTATTCTCCGATTGTATAGGTATCATTTAGTGCACATAGAACGGGAGTTGTTTTTACCATCTTGAATGTAAAAAAGATGAAATAGAATAGAATGAAATTTGAGATGAGTTAAAAGTTATTGGTAAAATTGCTATTTTTACTGTGAAAAAGATATGTGGCCTTTGGATGGAAGCTTTTAAGAATCGTTTGCTCCTTCTTTCATTGGATTTAGTATTATTTTTAATTTGTTTCATTGACAGAAACCATTTCGGTATCATATTGTGTTAATTTCGATTGTGTTAAAGGAACTCGAGAATCCGAAAAAGAACAAGGCAAAGATGGAGTTCTTGGAAATTTTTTTAGAGATCTAAAATCATTTTGGTAGGTACAATTAAGATCTCACAGATTGACATGATTGGTGTTGTAACAAATACAGGTTTTTTGCAATTTATGATACAAGGCGATTGGTAAAGTACAATAGACGATTGGGAGACATCAATTTGATAGATGTAGACTCTATCACTGAAAGCTCGCCAATAGGCTAATATACACATGCAGAAGTTATGTATGTCTTGTTTACCTAAGAATTCTTAAAGAATGTCATTTAAATAAAAATGTTACCTTTTCTCAAGTATTCATAAGTGTTTTTTTTTTCGCAGCTGTCCTGTGAAAGTAGAGCGAAGTTCTGCCATGGAAATGGAAAACATGGACTCTGAAGGCGATGAAAATTTAGGTATTCTAATTGCTTTTTTCTTAACAAAAGTTTTTCAGAAAATAGGCTGATTGACTCATAAAATGACGTTATAATTTGGAAATAATGGACAACATTTAGTCTGAAGTTGATGAGGACCTAGGTATACTATTCTGTTTCCTTAAAAGTTCGACGAAAATAGTCTGAATGACTCATACTTTAGTGACATTCTTATTTGTAAATTGCAGTCATTTTCTTTAATTTCGAGAGCTGTTTACCAATTAAAAATTATTCAGTTTTTAAACTGAATTTTAATAATTGAAAAGAACGACCTCGCCAGGACTCGAACCTGGAATCTTCTGCTCCGTAGGCAGACGCGTTCTCCAATTGCGCCACGAGCCCCTCTGCATATAGTACGATAAACAACCGACACCGATACCTGAACCATTTTAAAATATGGTCTTAATGAAACTGTCTCAAATAGAAGTTTTTGTCACATTTTGATGCTTCAATTGATAGTTAAAATTGATTTTCAATGTCCATTTCGCTGTAGTTGCAAATCTAAACAAAACTGTCAAATTACAGATATGCCGTTCACTAGATCCAGAAGAAGGCGAAGATTCCAACCGCCAGCTGGTACGTTCTCGGCAGACGACTGGCTTCGCGCGCAATTTTATGAAAAAGAAATACACGTAAGTTGCTTTGACAAAACAGTGAACTATTGCAATGACCTGTAAAAACAAATTTCGCAGCCGACAGGATTCGAACCTGTGCGGGGACACCCCAATGGATTTCAAGTCCATCGCCTTAACCACTCGGCCACGACTGCTGTATTATTGCCTAAAGTTTCTTATGGAAAGGGCCAGAAGACGTGCGAACATCATATTAGAAATACGTTTTTTTTCCAAAAATGATGTGCACCAGTTTATTTTCATTCACAGCAAGACACTTTTACCTTAAGATTGTCTAAAACCTTAAATTTCACTGTGGTTAAGACCAAATGGCGTTAGATATCTGCAATTCCGTGTGTGCATTCTTAATCCTGTGCATATTCATTGCAGGCTTGCTCGCCTATGTTTGATGCACTAGGCTACGGAGACACAAGCTTCATTGCAGGGATGTCACGAGAGGTAATTACCAGTAGACCATTCATTGTCCAGTGCTATGTGTCAGAATAATATTCTTGAGGCACGGACATATTCTGAGGGATGTTGTATAAAATTAATATTAATCTAAAATAGGATAGGATAGACTTAAATTAAAACATACATCACCATAAGTAACTTTCTTGTACATGTATTTCATAGAAAATATAAAAGGAATGAATCCCAAGGTAGAGAAGTGAACTCAGTATGTGCAAAAGCTTATACCCTCAGGGGAACAGCATGCACTTTGTACCCTGGAAATGTTATGGAACCAATGGTTTTATGTGCTATTTCAGGAAATTCGTCAAGTTGGCTTAACCAATCCTAAACATATCAACACCGTATACCGAGAAGCACAGTCTTTGCCGCCATTTTCTATTGACCCAAGATGGCCGATCACAGAGGTTTATTTGAAAGATTGTCATTTGTAATGATAATGTCCAATGTACATGTTGATTTCTTACACTGAAACTTACGACATTTTACTGACAAAAATAGGTTTGATTCATTTTAAAGTACAAAGTTCCTTGTCTTTTTAAATAATTCTTGATTTGGCAATTAAAGTGAAAGTTCTTCATATTTTTATCGTAGCAGTTGCGTATAAAAAAACCGAGCACCATGACACCTGAAATATTATTTTTAATTGAATGGTATTTGTAGACGGAAAAGCGCATCAAATGGGTGAACAGAGTTGGCCTAATGGATTATAAAGATAGTCTACTGGAAAAGTTTGACGACCTGCCTTCTACAACGAGCAAAAGTAAACTGAGAGTGAAGTATGGAATACATAAACCAGGTAAATAAGACGTGTAATGATACTTCTAACGCACGGACACATTATTTTAGTGCTACCCATCGTATTAAATCGGTAAACAAAATTTTGGATCCACCGTCTATGCATTATCTCCTCCAAAAGGGGTCAGCTCTTTACATGCAGTGTACATATTGTGCTTTTTTACTCATTGAAAATGAAATTTATTGCTTGAAATGTTGTGTTTTCAATGTTTTAACTATCAATAAATGACAATGATTTTTTTTTATCTAAGGCCACTTGAAAAGATTGTACACGGCCATACAGCAACTGCGGACACCAACAGGCGGTATTTATTATTATTATTTTATTTATCTATTTTATTTTTTTTTTGTTTGTTTATTTATTTATTTTTGCTTAGAGAAACTAATATTCCAACTCTTCATTTACTACCTTTTAGTCGCTACTCCAACGCTGAACTCACTCTCTCTCACTCTCTCTGTGTGTGTGTGTGTGTGTGTGTGTGTGTGTGTGTGTGATACATGTTTCCATTTATTTTACGCGTGCGAGAAATTTCCCTTTTGCTGAAAGTCTAAAAAAACTAAATCGTATTTGTTATTAAGTATAAGGACGGATGAGGAGTAGGGATGCATATTGCGTTAGGAGAGATTAACTTCAGTAACCTTGCCATATCTTTCAGCTGAATGGGTCCAAATGGAAGTGAAAGAAGAGGTCAGAAAACTCGTCAGGGCTGAGGCCTCGTCTTCGCCTAACCTTGACCTGGAGTCCGATGACAACATGCTTGGGTCATCGTCGTCTGCTGTGGCTACTTCTGACCACTCGGAGGACCGATTCTGGGAACAGTTGGTTGAACTGCGTCTCAAACCACAGGCGGTTTTTCCAGAGAGGGAGGATCGGTTAGCGGGTATGTTCTGGCAATTATCCCGTGTATATTTTCTGTTGGACAGGCGCTTCTTATTCAATTGATAAGCACGTTTAATATTATTGATTCGAACAGATTCTACTATTGCAAAATGCAGTACTTTGCGTCTTTTTAAGGTACCTCCACATAAAAATGAAAATGTAGACACACGCTGGGAAAGACCTCATTGAGTGTACAAGGGTGTTTTTATCCAGGTGAAGTAATACTACTTTATTATGGTACCAATCTATAAGAATATTTTTCCAGGAGAACTGCATGACATTCGGAAAACTTCCCTTATATGGTTTGCAGTGGCCAACATGTTCTGGCTTGTCTTGTTTCTGACGCTGAGCAACCTTCCAGCAAACGATAAGAAGGGATCAGACTTGCATGTGTTCGGAAACAATCCCGTTGGTACGTGGTTTTCGTTTTCGACTCCTATTACATGTAACTACGTCGGGGGCGTCTCGATAGTCCGAAGGTTCATTGGTCCGAAGGTTCATTGGTCCGAAAAGTGGTAACATTTTTATCGATTTTTTAATCAAGGGTTCATTGGTCCGAAGGTTCTATAGTGAACATTCGGACCAATGAACCTTCGGACTATTGAACCTTCGGACTATCGCTACGGCCCCACTACGTCAAAGGATGTTACAGTATTAAAATATGTCTTCTTGTAATAAAGGTAAATTTGTGTAAGAAATGCAAGAATAATAGTTTTGAGTTATTTTGCTAAAACCGGTACAATTGCTTTCATATTAATTGCACAAAGGTACAAAGTATGATTTATGTGTGACATACTGTGAGGAGACGTGTGGCAACGAATGTTTGGAGTTATGGTAACATTGATATTCCCCTTCACATAGTGTTTCTGTCCTTACAGGGCTGGCATTTCTGTTCCTGTTTTGTCTTTTACTCATCATCCAGTTCTTCAGCATGTTGGTGCATCGCGTATGGACATTTATCCACTTGGTGGCACGCGCAAAGTTGCCCGGATCCAAGACAAGTCGCCCAGATGCTTCGGTCTGGAACACGCGCATAGCGCGACAGCAGGTGGCCGATCCTGAGGAGGAGGAGCAATTCTATCAGTCATGGAATGCCACGCTGAGAAGGGTGACCGATTTTTCGCAGTCCATGTCCGACCAGAGAAGTCTCTTGGGCTATTCTATCCGAAAATAGATTTAATCATTCTCGAAGAATGCTCTTCGTCATGTGCAATGGACTCAACATAATGGAAATGTATTATAATACGTGTATGATAAAATCTGACGTGCTCAGTTATGAGATGAGATTTTGGGAAATGTTTACTGGATTAAGTGCTGAGTATTATGCTGCCCATAATTACGGGATCCGTTCACAATTTAAATATTTATTATTGGTGACGATACTTTATGGTTACTTGTTAAACAGCCTGTCATTAAATGACCTGTGGTGTGCCAGTGAGGAGGCAGAAGCAGTATAACGTTCTGAACTGTTACAACTTGTATTTAAAAGCTTGTTTTTCCATGTAAATGAACCTTTACATTGTATTTTACTTTACTGCTATATATATATATATATCCCCTCCATCGATATGGTGGCTGAGAAACATGTAATAATTCTGCTGGATAAATCAAGATTTTGAATTACTTGGTGTCATATATAAATATTAAATTGTAAGCTGGCTTATAATAAATTATTAACACGCGCTTTAACCATTCAGAATGGTTTATTAAATGCAATATCTCTAAACTTGTAACAACAATTAATGTATAACACAACAAGGTGCAAAAATTCTGTCAACAAATAGTAATCCTTACATATTTATGCTTTACCGTCCAAAATTAGTGGCTTCATCAAGGATATCCTTAATCTAATCTCTGAACAAATTACACTGCTACGTTGTTCTGTATGTAGTGGGATTTGAATATTGGCTTATATTGTTAAAATCCACCATTATCATTATAATCAATTGTCATCAAGTACTAGCAAAACTGTTACAATAGGTTTTTACAATCATATTACCTGTACTCATGAATCAGGCGACTTTATGTACTACAGTTTCTTAGCATGGTGGGTTTGATGTCTTTCTTGTCAGCAGGTCGGCGTGTGTTCTCTAAGGCGGGGGTGTCAGATTGGAACAATCTAATTCCTCGCAGCACTTGCCAGGTTTAGGGGGCATCAGGGTACAGCCAGCGGGCACCACGGACCAATCAGGGCACCTGTTTGTGAGATATAATAACATTTGTAATCAGCGTTGATAAATGAGTTAAAACTGCCTCCCAACTAACTAGTTGGCCGTGGAGATCGATGTGAAAATTTCTTGCGGTACTCTTTCTGTACATCAAAAAAATCGAAGAGATACGACCATTAGCATCATTGCCCATCTGGACAATCAAGCTAATCTGACTAGCAAATTGCCAGTCAGAAAATATACACCTTTTTTCTATTTTACATGTGAAACTGTATTCCAGACAAATTGTAATTTTTATCAGTCTGAACGCAAGTCACTCTTCGACTAATTCAGTGAATGAACGACATACTTACAAAGGTTCACAGTACGTAAAGTTCATGGTTGGCACAATGCATATGCATCGCTTCTCACAGCCAATAGTCCAACCCTCTTTCTCCTTGTAGAATGTATTATTCACTTCACATCGGTCTATAATATAATATAATATAATATAATCGGTCTATAATAAAGCATAATATAATACTGTATAATAACGATGACTACTAGACATCGAATCGGTTCCACGTACAGTATATCTGTTAGGTTCATGGATACTTAAAGTAACCATCGCTTTAACCTGATGTAGTTATACATGTTTTTGCTATAATGGATTACCTGGTGGTTTCTGACATTTGAATTGTCCGTGGGCTAACAACTCACACTGTACCTCACGTCCATTGTAGAGAGGACAGGGGTTTGGCTGGCAGGGATCTGTGGAAAAAGATAATGTAATGCAAGGAATAAAAATATAAACATAAAATCATAAATAATCTGTTGCACAGACACCGACATTTTGGTAAATAATAAAATTTGTGATGTTGTAAATAAAAAGTGTAAGTTAGCTAATGAAAAAAAAACTTGCATTTGCCATTTGAAGACCCTAATTCGAAACGGTAAAAAGCATATCCTAAACTCACAAAACATGTCTTTACATGTAGGCTAATATTTGCTTGCCTTAACATGTCAGAAGCAATAAAATACAACAAAAGCAGTAACTGTTGAACATACTTGTCACTGTTGTCGCAGCATTACTAGTGCTTGTAGTAGGTGTAGTTGATTCTGTTGTAGAACTAGTAGTCGTCGTTTCTGCCGTGGCTTTAGTTTTGGGGTTTGTCGTAACTGTCGTAGCACTAGTTGTGGGGGTGGTCATAGCTGTCGTACCACTAGTTGTGGGTGTGCTTATTACTGCTCTAGTACTAAATGTGGGTGTGGTCGTTACTTTTTTAGCACTAGTTGTGGGTTTGGTCGTTACTGCCTTAACACTAATAATGGGNGAGGAGAGATTAACTTCAGTAACCTTGCCACATCTTTCAGCTGAATGGGTCCAAATGGAAGTGAAAGAAGAGGTCAGAAAACTCGTCAGGGCTGAGGCCTCGTCTTCGCCTAACCTTGACCTGGAGTCCGATGACAACATGCTTGGGTCATCGTCGTCTGCTGTGGCTACTTCTGACCACTCGGAGGACCGATTCTGGGAACAGTTGGTTGAACTGCGTCTCAAACCACAGGCGGTTTTTCCAGAGAGGGAGGATCGGTTAGCGGGTATGTTCTGGCAATTATCCCGTGTATATTTTCTGTTGGACAGGCGCTTCTTATTCAATTGATAAGCACGTTTAATATTATTGATTCGAACAGATTCTACTATTGCAAAATGCAGTACTTTGCGTCTTTTTAAGGTACCTCCACATAAAAATGAAAATGTAGACACACGCTGGGAAAGACCTCATTGAGTGTACAAGGGTGTTTTTATCCAGGTGAAGTAATACTACTTTATTATGGTACCAATCTATAAGAATATTTTTCCAGGAGAACTGCATGACATTCGGAAAACTTCCCTTATATGGTTTGCAGTGGCCAACATGTTCTGGCTTGTCTTGTTTCTGACGCTGAGCAACCTTCCAGCAAACGATAAGAAGGGATCAGACTTGCATGTGTTCGGAAACAATCCCGTTGGTACGTGGTTTTCGTTTTCGACTCCTATTACATGTAACTACGTCGGGGGCGTCTCGATAGTCCGAAGGTTCATTGGTCCGAAGGTTCATTGGTCCGAAAAGTGGTAACATTTTTATCGATTTTTTAATCAAGGGTTCATTGGTCCGAAGGTTCTATAGTGAACATTCGGACCAATGAACCTTCGGACTATTGAACCTTCGGACTATCGCTACGGCCCCACTACGTCAAAGGATGTTACAGTATTAAAATATGTCTTCTTGTAATAAAGGTAAATTTGTGTAAGAAATGCAAGAATAATAGTTTTGAGTTATTTTGCTAAAACCGGTACAATTGCTTTCATATTAATTGCACAAAGGTACAAAGTATGATTTATGTGTGACATACTGTGAGGAGACGTGTGGCAACGAATGTTTGGAGTTATGGTAACATTGATATTCCCCTTCACATAGTGTTTCTGTCCTTACAGGGCTGGCATTTCTGTTCCTGTTTTGTCTTTTACTCATCATCCAGTTCTTCAGCATGTTGGTGCATCGCGTATGGACATTTATCCACTTGGTGGCACGCGCAAAGTTGCCCGGATCCAAGACAAGTCGCCCAGATGCTTCGGTCTGGAACACGCGCATAGCGCGACAGCAGGTGGCCGATCCTGAGGAGGAGGAGCAATTCTATCAGTCATGGAATGCCACGCTGAGAAGGGTGACCGATTTTTCGCAGTCCATGTCCGACCAGAGAAGTCTCTTGGGCTATTCTATCCGAAAATAGATTTAATCATTCTCGAAGAATGCTCTTCGTCATGTGCAATGGACTCAACATAATGGAAATGTATTATAATACGTGTATGATAAAATCTGACGTGCTCAGTTATGAGATGAGATTTTGGGAAATGTTTACTGGATTAAGTGCTGAGTATTATGCTGCCCATAATTACGGGATCCGTTCACAATTTAAATATTTATTATTGGTGACGATACTTTATGGTTACTTGTTAAACAGCCTGTCATTAAATGACCTGTGGTGTGCCAGTGAGGAGGCAGAAGCAGTATAACGTTCTGAACTGTTACAACTTGTATTTAAAAGCTTGTTTTTCCATGTAAATGAACCTTTACATTGTATTTTACTTTACTGCTATATATATATATATATCCCCTCCATCGATATGGTGGCTGAGAAACATGTAATAATTCTGCTGGATAAATCAAGATTTTGAATTACTTGGTGTCATATATAAATATTAAATTGTAAGCTGGCTTATAATAAATTATTAACACGCGCTTTAACCATTCAGAATGGTTTATTAAATGCAATATCTCTAAACTTGTAACAACAATTAATGTATAACACAACAAGGTGCAAAAATTCTGTCAACAAATAGTAATCCTTACATATTTATGCTTTACCGTCCAAAATTAGTGGCTTCATCAAGGATATCCTTAATCTAATCTCTGAACAAATTACACTGCTACGTTGTTCTGTATGTAGTGGGATTTGAATATTGGCTTATATTGTTAAAATCCACCATTATCATTATAATCAATTGTCATCAAGTACTAGCAAAACTGTTACAATAGGTTTTTACAATCATATTACCTGTACTCATGAATCAGGCGACTTTATGTACTACAGTTTCTTAGCATGGTGGGTTTGATGTCTTTCTTGTCAGCAGGTCGGCGTGTGTTCTCTAAGGCGGGGGTGTCAGATTGGAACAATCTAATTCCTCGCAGCACTTGCCAGGTTTAGGGGGCATCAGGGTACAGCCAGCGGGCACCACGGACCAATCAGGGCACCTGTTTGTGAGATATAATAACATTTGTAATCAGCGTTGATAAATGAGTTAAAACTGCCTCCCAACTAACTAGTTGGCCGTGGAGATCGATGTGAAAATTTCTTGCGGTACTCTTTCTGTACATCAAAAAAATCGAAGAGATACGACCATTAGCATCATTGCCCATCTGGACAATCAAGCTAATCTGACTAGCAAATTGCCAGTCAGAAAATATACACCTTTTTTCTATTTTACATGTGAAACTGTATTCCAGACAAATTGTAATTTTTATCAGTCTGAACGCAAGTCACTCTTCGACTAATTCAGTGAATGAACGACATACTTACAAAGGTTCACAGTACGTAAAGTTCATGGTTGGCACAATGCATATGCATCGCTTCTCACAGCCAATAGTCCAACCCTCTTTCTCCTTGTAGAATGTATTATTCACTTCACATCGGTCTATAATATAATATAATATAATATAATCGGTCTATAATAAAGCATAATATAATACTGTATAATAACGATGACTACTAGACATCGAATCGGTTCCACGTACAGTATATCTGTTAGGTTCATGGATACTTAAAGTAACCATCGCTTTAACCTGATGTAGTTATACATGTTTTTGCTATAATGGATTACCTGGTGGTTTCTGACATTTGAATTGTCCGTGGGCTAACAACTCACACTGTACCTCACGTCCATTGTAGAGAGGACAGGGGTTTGGCTGGCAGGGATCTGTGGAAAAAGATAATGTAATGCAAGGAATAAAAATATAAACATAAAATCATAAATAATCTGTTGCACAGACACCGACATTTTGGTAAATAATAAAATTTGTGATGTTGTAAATAAAAAGTGTAAGTTAGCTAATGAAAAAAAAACTTGCATTTGCCATTTGAAGACCCTAATTCGAAACGGTAAAAAGCATATCCTAAACTCACAAAACATGTCTTTACATGTAGGCTAATATTTGCTTGCCTTAACATGTCAGAAGCAATAAAATACAACAAAAGCAGTAACTGTTGAACATACTTGTCACTGTTGTCGCAGCATTACTAGTGCTTGTAGTAGGTGTAGTTGATTCTGTTGTAGAACTAGTAGTCGTCGTTTCTGCCGTGGCTTTAGTTTTGGGGTTTGTCGTAACTGTCGTAGCACTAGTTGTGGGGGTGGTCATAGCTGTCGTACCACTAGTTGTGGGTGTGCTTATTACTGCTCTAGTACTAAATGTGGGTGTGGTCGTTACTTTTTTAGCACTAGTTGTGGGTTTGGTCGTTACTGCCTTAACACTAATAATGGGTGTGGTCGTTTCTGACGTAGTACTAGTTGTCAGAGTATTCGATTTTAAAGTACTGTTAGTAGTTGGTGTACCCGTTTCTGCTGTGGTGCTGGTTGTGGTTGTAGTTGTTTCTGCTGGAGTGCTGGTGGTTAGTGTATTCCTTTCTGTTGCTGTGCTAGTTATAGGTCTATTCGTTTCTGATGTCGTACTGGTTCCGGGCGTAGTCGTTTTTGGCCATGAACTGATTGTAGTAGTTGTTGTCTCTGTTGTAGCACTAGTCGAAGGTGTTATCGTTTTTGTTGTACTCTGTGTGGATGTAACAGTCATTGTTTGCAAGGAGCAGGGATTAGCAATGTTTCTCCTCAAATTCCCAAGGCTATCGGGGTCATCAATATGTGAAACGTGGGTTTTGTATGGGACGCTTGCCATGGCTTGCAGGGAGCTGTAGTCGGTTTTGGTGTGCATACCAACGGCGTATATTTCAATCCCTTGTTTTCGAGCCACCTTTGCCTCGATTGTCGTCTGCTTCTTTTCATCCGGGTATCCATCTGAGAATACTATAGCAATTTTTGGCACTCCCCTTCTCGCACCCATAGGTTTAGCCGGGTTAAGGTAGTCTAGGTGTGTAAGTCTTAACACTGTGTGGGTATGAGTGGCACCACCCACGTACTTAGCTGTTTGGATCTTGGTCAAGGTTTCGCTCTTGGTCGTAGTGTCCTTTAAGGTTGCTGCGATATTGTAGCCATTCCCAAATGTAATCAGACAAATACGAACGCCGTGCGTACCAACCGCAAAGGTACTTTTTACAAGGGCGTGAATAAACTGCAGCGCTTCTCGAAATCTAGTTTTACCAACACTTCCGGAGGAATCAACCAGAATTGCAATGTCAGCCTTTGACTGGCAACTCGGAAAATGCGTCACGTATGGGTTTGATGTACTTAAAGTTGATGGAACAGTTGAATGTGTTGTTGGCACAACTGAAAAAAATAAGAAAAAACATAAAATATAAATTAGTGAAAAGTGCATTATAAAACGTAATGTGGCTTGATGGTCGGTTTTGTACACCTAATCAAAATTGCTGATCTTCTACTTCAACATGTCTCTTCAATTTAACCAAACCAATGGAAGACGACCGTAATGTTTATTTACTGGTGCGAGACTGGCAGTACTCAAATCTATGACAGGGCCGCGTGAAGATATAACCAATAACACCATCTAGCTGTAGTTCATATCAGTACTAGTTCAGGCTGCTTACCTCGTTTTGCTTTACAGATATATGGCATTTTTTCAAAGCATCTGTTGTCTGTGAAACGCCCGTAGACCGCATTCAGCTCGCCACAGTGTTTGTTGCTGCCGTAGATGTTTGGGTGACCATAATTCCATTCCCTACGACAAGACAAAAATACCAAATGTGAAGTTTATAAAATGTCATGCCTGCATTGCCCTTTGAACGATTGTCGGATCAACGATGGAGCACATGTACGAGTACATGTATGAGGCATTTGCCTGTCTGGGTTATGTGCATTTAACTGTCCGCACCATTTGACCCTGTAGTTGTCAGACACACGAGTTTCACGGCGCTTGGTTTAAGATGAAAATATCTGTCTTTTAGTTCTTAAAATTTCAGAGCAGAGCTTTTTTTGCATTGGAACAACGGTAAAAGAGCTTGTTTAAAGTCTATTTGCTCAATATCTGTTTATGAATTACTCAGCAATGAATCATCTAAAAAATACACATTTTGCATAAACATTATAGAACTGAGCACACATGAACTTAACTGCCACTTACACGAGAGAAGTGTTGTTGATACCATCTGACCAAGTGTACTTCTCGCTGTAGATTCTGTGCAATCCCGTCCACCATCGATAAGTGTCTGAGTCATGGAGATGAAACGTTTTGACTGCTGTCAACAGCCATTCCTTTGATTTGAATAATCATTGTGAATAATACCCAATATAAAACGACTGTTTAAAATAATTCTTTTTAAACATTTGAATACAACGATTCCCTGGATGATTATCTTCGTTATTATTCTATGAACAAATAACTGCCAGCAGTGACGTCAAAATAAATTAATAAGTAAATAAGTAAGCTACAATATTGCCAGCTACAATACACTTCTGACCATTAGCAATGGACTTATCTATATACCAATGTTCACCTTTGCGCCCGCTTTTAGTAATCATCTTTTAAACGAGCGTACAACCACAGTTATATTAGGTTAACATATCGCTAGTCATTTTTAACGTCGGGTGATGGTTTGGCATCGCATGTTTCAGATTACGTGAATTATTAATCACATTTCTTTACACTTTTCAAATTTTAGAAAATCTACCGAAGGTTAGATGAAAACCATTTTTACCTTTTCGCTTTTGGACAAAATTGAAACCAGATCACCTCCACTGGCCAGGCAGTCAACTCTTGCATCAAACCATGTCTTGCCTACTTTTCTGTCACTAAACTGGTAACAGTTATCATTCACCGAGTATTCAAAGTATCCATGAGGACAAAGGGTTGGGGTGTCTATTTGAAAAAGAAACAAGGCAATATTCGAAACTAGGATAAATTTGGTATAATTAGATATAACTTCATTATGAGAATCGTTTTGTACCAACGACATACATATAAACGGAAGTTAAAATGAAGTCCCGAATAATACATATCTACATGTAATTTGATGCATTAATTGTACCTATCAACTAAATGCATATTTAAAGATTATATTTTGCATAAGAGAGAGAAACAAGGATAAAGAACATCTAGCACTCCTTACTGATTGGCGATTATTTTTCCGTACCTTTCACTGTAATTTTCTTTGACTTGCAAATGTAAGGTCGGCTCCTTGTACAATCAAGGTCGTTCAAATTATAATCTCGGAAAATCTCTGCGCAATTTTGTGGCCCATACTTATTATTAGGCTGTCCTGGGGACCATATTCTGATTTAAGTGTGAAATGGAAGTTTTTTATCATTTAGTTTAACTGTTGTGAAGATAAACATAAAATGGTAAACCACGTAAATTGTTAGTTTGATCCTTAGACCACTGTATATTCACAGCATGAACTAGAAAATCAGCCGTCTTAACTATTTGACTTATCCAGATCTCTCTACCCCGTTTAGGAAATATAAGTATAGGT